AGATAAGATACCTTGAAGCCCCTACCCTGACTTTTTTTTCCGTTTCAGTTACAACACTCCCTTCCCATTGGGGTTAGTGGTAAACACGCGACCACTCTGACCACGCCTCCAAAATATCACCATGAATAAGTAATTCTAAAAGTAAAGAAGGAAAAAAAATAATGTGATCTCTACTCACCTGTGGTTCCACTTGGGCGAAGACAGAAGTTGCGAAAATGGCAGTGAGGGTGAATATACAACAAAATAAGGTTTTCATTTTACGGCTTTTGGAGAGTAATGAGGTCGAAGTTCGTAAGAAAGTTGATGATAAATAAGTTATTTCGCAAACTGTGGATGACACTGAGCTCTTTAAATTTTATGTTCTTGTTTTTTGTTGAAAATTTCTTATATAAATTATAAATATTTTGTAAAGATTGAAATAAGACAAACTTTTTTGTTATTAAATAAATAAATAAATAAATAAATATTAAATTTTTTGTCTATTTACAAAGTTATCGACGACGACGAACGTCTTATTGTTTCGTTTTACTTTTCCGTCGTTCTTGGCGTCCTGTCTTTTCGGCTGGGTTACCGAAGCTTGTCTGACTTCTGAGAGGTTAGTCGATTTGTTTTTATAGGAAACGGGCCTGAGTTTATTTTTGCCTCGCGTCAAAAAGAAGGCGGAACTATTAGTGGAAAAGAAAAACCCAAAAAGAAAATAAACTCAAGCCAGTAATGGGTGCGCCGGATGACGTCACAGAGATTGTCCATTCAGAAAACGTCGCGGTACATTTATTGGGGTCACAGTAGAAAAAAAATGGTTTCTCCATTTACGTGAAGTGTTTTATAAAAATACACACGCGCAGGCGCACGCCTAAAACGATCACATCTGAACACAGCGACACGCCCACATACATCTACTCAGGAATACGAACACGAAGTTGCACACAAAAACAATTTACGCACACATTTTTGAATACAAAAGTGTACAGGCATAATAAGGTCTATACAAGCGTATACACACAAATGGATTCTTGTGTAAATCTGCTGTGACGCCTATGACGTCCTTGACGGAGGGGACATCAATATATCCTTAAGATTATGATAAACAGACATTCACTTTACACAACTTGATATTTTCAAAAATAATCTCATTCTTTCTTAATTCAGTGGTTAATATAAGTCAAATAAATGGAAATCTTCAGTTTAGCCCAATATCTGTGTCAAAGTTGTTATTAGTAAACCACCTTGTGTATATATATATATATAGATAGATAGATAGATAGATAGATAGATAGATAGATAGATAGCAAAATAGATATATAGATATACATGCATACATGCATAGTATATATATATATATATATATATATATATATATATATATATATACAACTATACATACAGTATACACACACACAGATATATATATATATATATATATATATATATATAAAATCCCAAATCATACATATATATATATATATATATATATATATAATCCCAAATCAATAATATATGTGTGTGTGTGTGTGTGTGTGTGTATATTTGTATGTGCGCACGCGCGTTTGGACAACTTTCTCTTAAACACCTTACGTTAAATACGACGGACAAGGAAAATTTGATTCATTTTTTCTTTATTAGGTTGGTGCAAAAATAATGTCGTTTTTGACGTTAAGTTGACCGTCAAAAAAACGACATTATTTTTGCACCAACCTAATAATTTCCCCAAAGCTCTTACATTTTTCCGTTTGGTGGGAGTGAGCGAGTATAAAAATCCATGCATACCTGCCATTATTTGATCGTCGGTGAGTACGTGATCGGACAAGTTTAGTAATTTACTTTTATCATTGGGCAGTACAACCTATCCATTGTACAAGTAGCAGCTGCACATCGTTGCGGTGTAACGATCAGTCAGCCTGTCCCGCTAGAACAATTATATCTAAGTAGCCAGTTCGATCCTCTCAGGGTGTCCCCACTTCTTTCGGCTATTGTGCTACGCTTAGAAAATCACCAGTTGCAGAGGTTGTTTTTTGTTGTTGTTTTTTTAGTGATGCTGCATTTTTGGTTGAGTTCTAACATCCGAACGTCTGCAAGGAACTTAAAACCGGCATAATAATAATAATAATTATATATATATATATATATATATATATATATATATATATATATATATATATATTTCAAGTGAGAATTTTTATGTAAATTTTGAAATATTTGAACTTTAGCGTTGCGACTTGTACGTTCCAACATTATACAGCCGTTAATAAATAACACATTCTTAAAAATACATCTTTCGATCTAAAACACATTTATTTTGTCGTCGAGTTTTGATTTTAAAGGAAAAAAATTACAGCCTGATGATGAGAACATGAAGTTTTCGAAAGTACTTGCTGCTCTAAATATACACCAGATCCATCTGACAACAATTTTATCCATAAGGATCGCATCATTCAGTGATTTGTTAGTAGGTTAATGCTTATATTAAATCTATTAGCGAAGAGAATTCACCATTAATTGCATAAATATTGCTGATTGATTCAATGTATGATTATCTCTTTATAATATAAAATATATGCTGCCTAATATAATACGTTTATGAAAACAATTGATCCGCAGTACGAAATTCCGGAGGAAAAAAATCTACTAAGACATATCATTCTATTAATTAATCTATGTACTTAGTTCATGTCACGTTGACTGGAAAACACAACAAAAGAATTCCTGGATTTACCAAATTACAAAATTCATATAAAAAAAAATTCTCACTTTAAATATTTGATCTTTAGCGTTGCGACTTCCACATTCCAATATTATATAACCGTTAATTAATATATATATATATATATATATATTATTCGGACTATTGTCCTCATCTTTGTCGCCATATTTATTACAAGGTTTCGGCCGTTGCACTTTCCGGCCTTCTTCAGGTGGTTGTAATGTCGAACTGAACCCTTTATTTTGCTCAGTGGGGTAGACTGTTCTAGTTCCACGTGCCATGTTTAATGCATTTCAGTTATCAGTTATCTCCTGTTAATTCCCCTACAAATTCTCCACAGCCTTAACCTTGAACTCACACTCTTTGGGTACATAATACCTCATCTCAGAAATATATATATATATATATATATATATATATATATATATATATATATATATATATATATATATATGATTTGCTTTTAGGATATTAAAACAAAAACATGTTAAAAATGGGTACACGATTTAAAATCGAATACAAAAAATACAAGATTCTCCCAAATACGATTAGTACAACAGAACACACAACTACTGGACGACATCTCAACCACCAATCAATTATATATATATATATATATATATATATATATATATATATATATATATATATATATTTGTGTATTTATGCAACAAATTCTCTTTTAGGCATATTTGATTAAATAAATTACAGACATTATGTCTGCTTATCTTACTTATTATAAAACCCAGGTTGTGTGTGTGTGTGTGTGTGTGTGTGTGTGTGTGTGTGTGTGTGTGTGTGTGTGTGTGTGTGTGTGTGTGTTCATTTAAATATGGGATCGGATTTCCTACATTTTTCAACCGATTTCAACAAAACTTCACTTTTTTTGGGCAGGTAGTGTTTCTTATTGTCTTGCACATTTTTTTCTTTATTTTTACATTCAGAATGCTTTAAAAATTCCATTTACAAGACAATTGTTTATAATAAAATTCTATTCAATCGGTAGACTCATAACGATTGAAAACAATGTTTTTGTTTGAGTTTGACCAATTCGTAAAAAAAAAAAACTAATTAAGACATGCGTGTCCGTCAACCTTAAACAATAATCTTTGTCAATTTTATTTTTCAGTCTTTATGATGGTCGATACTTGATCTATCTCTTACTGTTACATCCCCGGGCAACGCTGGGCTCTACTGCTAGTTTTTAATAAAATCCATTCATACTCACGGAAAACTCTCCGTGTATTGCAATTAAATGATCCGAAAAATGTTCTATAACTAGGAAAATCGTCGTAAACTATCAAATTACACTACCCGGCAGCCAACAAAGAAAATAACATTACTACACCCCCCAAAAAAAAATCTTGTCTTACGACAAATAAAATCAGCTCAAAATGACATCCAACTCTTAAACAACGAAATCCACAAACATAACACGACACTAAAAAAACCTTAACCGAACTGGAATATAATGAAGTATTGTACCACGGCAACCTTAGCTTACGTTACACCTATCTGATCACAGCTCCATTAGAACCCATTTAAACACACACACAAATTTACCCGACTCCATTAGAATCATACTAGTAGAAAACAGAAATAAATTAACTGCATCCACCTGTAAAAAAAAGGTTAAAAATAATGGAAGCTTTAATAATAAAAAAGAAAAAGCCAACTCTTAACAATATTAACTACGAACAAGGCCACAATGTGCTAAGCGTATTCGGAAATTAAAAACATCCCTACCACACACTAAGACATACACATAACGCACACACACAATTAAGCTAAAAAATCGAATCATCCTTGATAATGGCTAAAGGTATAGCCGAAAGCGCTCGGAAATATAAAACATTTAGACAGTTCTTACACACTCTTTGTCCAGAAAAGAAAGCTTTTGTTCGAACACAAGAAAAATTAAATAAAATGCTTAACCGTAGTACCTTGTCTGTCGTTTTTAATAAAACATGCATAAACGAAAGATTGCTACCTAAATATACAATTATATATATATATATATATATATGTGTGTGTGTGTGTGTGTAGAAATTTTCCAAGCGTAGCTTAGATGTGGCACAAGTATGGGGCATCCAGTGAGGATTGAACTCCCTACTCATTCGTAATTGTTTTATATATATATATATATATATATATATATATATATATATATATAGTATAACGCCTCACTATATATATATATATATATATATATATATATATATATATATATATATATATATATATATATAATACAACTCCTCTCAACCGAACATCGAGGAAGAAAAGGTCTGATGGCAAGCTTAAAATTTTATTATGTTTTAGAGTTTTAAGATACAAAAGGTAGTTAGTTTGTAATGTCGACTTGTTTTTATTTAAAGTGTAGATTGAATGCATAAATGTATAAAAATAATTAACAACCAATAGTAATGAAAAGAATTGTGCTGCAAAAATATTGTAATTTGTGAAAAACTAAGACACTTTATGAAATGTTTAAAAAAAAAATTATAAATTTAATATTCGTCCATTGTCAGATCTTCCTGAATTTCACTGCGTTC